CTCTGGAATTCAATTTAACTATCTCCTCACTACAGTTTTCCCCTTGGCTTTGCTATAAATAATTTTACTTGACAGAGTGGTATGTTGTCCCTTCCTGATCATCCAAAGATTCTTACTCAACTTTTGGTCCCACCCTTCCTGGCCAGCTGTAATTACTTCTTCGTTGTTCTCTTTTGGCCAAAGGAAAGAGATTAGATATCTTATTACTTTTCCTTTAATTGGGAGTGGGGTTTAAGTAAATCAGATAAAACTGATTGATTTCAACAAGCCTTTGCCTACATTATTTCCTCACAGGTTACCATGTAAGTGGTGATAAATTGGATCACAGTTGAATACCTGAGTGTAATCTAAGACTTAGAATTTCAGATCTGCTGCTCTTTTTTTTTTTTTTTTTATGGGGGCCCTGGGGAAAACTGGCTCACATCAGCACAGATGCCTATGATAAATATGCCAGCAAGCCAATTTAATCATTAAAAAGTAAAGAGAAAATAAGAATGCAATACATCTATATAAGACAGTTTCTTAAAAAAGAAAGCCATCGTAAACTTTCATTTAATGATAAAGTGAGGATCCATTAATATTTTCTACATTTTTCAGATCAAAAAACTGAGGTTCATCTGAGTTTGATGGTGTGTGTTGTAATCCCTGCACTTGGGAAGCTGAAATAGGAGCATCATAAATTTGAGCTCAGCCTGAGCTACATAGCTAGTTTGAGGTTGGCCTGGGATACTCTTTGATAAAAAGAAAGAAGGGAAGGAAGGATAAGAGGAAAGATGGAAAAAAAGAAGGAAGAAAGGAAGGGTGGGAGGAAGGAAAGAAGGAAGGAGGAGGAAAGAAGGAAGGAGGAGGGAAGAAGAGAAGGAGCAGAGGGAAGAAGGAAGAAGAATGGAAGGAAGGAAATGGACAGAGGTTCAGACAGGCTAAGCAACTTAACTAAGATCTCTACAAGGAAATGATAGAGTTATGACATGGTACTGTGTGAAGTTTGGATTCTTTTTTTTCACCGAATTGGGGATCAAACTCAGGACCTTATGCTTGCCAGGCAGGCCCTGGCACCACTGAGCTAAACCTCCAGCACCTGGAATCTGGGTTCTTAACACTCACAGCTCCTATACTTTATGTGCCCCTTTTCTATGAAGTCTTATAAGTTGTAGCTAAAATTCAGAAAAGCTCCCATAATAAAGAACATTAAATGCAGGCTACAGATTCAATACTTAATCTTGAAAAAGTCTAAAAGGATTCCTGCTGGGAGTGAGAGTGGTATTTTTTTTTAAATTTTTTATTGTGTTTACCTAAAATATATAACATTGTTTTGAGATACATATATAGTAAAATAGTTACTATAGTGAATCAAATTCAATATGTTATATCTATCTGTATGTTATCTAATGTAGTTACCCATTTCTCCTCTTGTGGCAAGAGCAGTTATACTTATTTAGCAAAATTCCTGAATGTGATACATTTTTATCAACTGTAGCCATCATATTGTACATTATATCTCTAAATTGTACAGTCTGCATATTTGCTGCCTTGTGTGTTTGCCCTAAGTCTCCTTGTCATCAACCCCAACACAGGTGATGAAGTGGGTTATTTGCAAAAGATTAGAACATATTGGAAAATGAAGATAATTGAGACCTTGATGCACATGGTTGAGAGTCTGCAGATCAGTTCAAATAATTTTGAAGGTTAGTTATTAGGAAGGGAGTTAAGCCGGATGTAATGGCACATTCCTGTAATTTCAGTGCTGGGGAGGCTGAGGCAGGAGGGTCGCTGCAAATATGAGGCCAGTTTGAGCAACATGTTGAGTTTAAGGCTAACATGAACTACCTAGAGAGACACTGTTGCAAAAAATACCAAAAAGAAAAATAAAAGAAAAAGAAAAAGAAAAGAAATCAAGGCTTTTTAGTATGAGAAAAGACTAGGTCAATAATTTTAAAATGAACTAGACCAAGAAGTTATACATTAGTTTTCTTAGTGATAAGTCCTTCAAAAGCCAGATTTATTATAAGAATGTTTAACACTATTAAGCTTTTGATACCAATTCAACTACAAATTCAATAATCTTCATTTAAGTGATGAAAATATTTATTCATTCATTCGTTATTAAGGATAATGAACCAAAGTCCATTTAAATTTTTCAAATGATAATGTAAATATACAAGAAAGTACACATTCTCCATCCATTTTGGCTGAACTTCACACTCCTACATTAGAGAGCATTTCACCATGTTTTAGCCTTAAAATGCTCTTCACTCTTCTATATTTTAAGAAATGTAGAAATAGTATAGATAAGTAATCCTCATTCTTTATGACGACTTCCTACTGGTTCAGAAAATGACTTGTGCATTCTCATGGTTTTCAAGGTATGATTTTCAAATAGGTAAAATGTAAGAACTTCACACAAATATATAAAAAGAAAACAGATCAAAAGTGATATTACCAACAGTTAATGACCTAAAGACAAAAATTGTTAAATATAAAATTGGTTGATAAAGCCTTAACTTTTTGTTGTCTTTTCTACTGGGTAAAAATAATGTGTAACTTAATGACTTTGTTTTACAGTTCAACATAGTTCCCAATCTCAGCCTAATCAATAAATAATAAATTAAAAATGTATTCTTTGAGAGAATTGAATAATCTTTCAGATGGTCTATAAGACAATGCTCCATTATATCATGAAAGAACATATAGTTATTCTTTTGCTTAATTTCAAATTTGAGATAATTTTTAAACATAAATTTTAAGAACCCCCTACTGCATTACAGAAATATTGAGTGCTCAAGCTAAAGTGTCAGCAATTTATTTGTATTCTTTCATTTAGTTATCAAAATGAATATTAATGAGCGCAAGACTTTTAATGAAATTAATTATTTCATTGGGGAAAATTTCTTATGAAAAAACCTGGATAAAAGTTTGAATATTTACAAGGATATTACTGAACGTAGCCAAATTCATTTTGAAAAATGATAGTCAATTTATACCCACCAGAGTCTGATACTCTAACCATTATTCTGACAGAGATGAGCATAATTTTAAAAAGTTAACCTATATGACAAAGATGAGCAAAATCTTCTAAAAAATTAATCCATTTGGTAGATTCAAAATAAACTCTCATTTTACCTTAATTATATCATATGTTGTGACTAGCAAATGTAACATTTTAAAACATTTGTTATTTACTTTTAAAGCCATAGTTTGTTTACTTTTCTATTTAGATATTAATGTCCATGACTTCTTTCAATTTTTAATATCTGAAAACAATAAACCTTTGTGTTTTTCCCTAGCTCTACTGAAGCATAATATATAATATAATAAAGTTGTGTTTAATTTATATAAATCCTTGTTTGTTTAATTCTTACACATCAAAGAGCTGCTCTTGAAATATATTAATAGGATATTTTATGTGAGGAATGACAACATCTTAAGTAAGTATCATCTGTGATAACTTGAAGCTCAACCTAAGATTATACTAATAAAAATGTAATGTTGTTTCCTCTTTCTCCATTAAAAGTATTTTATTGAAAAATGTAACATAGCTGCATATATAATTAATGTTTATATGGATGGAGTACTGAAACTATGGGAAAATCGGGGTTATTAAAAAAAAACAAAATTCTTTGCAAATTGACTGTAATTGTATTTACAAGAAAATAGTATAGCTTTAGGGGATAATATTTTGAATAATTTAGAGTAACTGGGGAAATTTTCATAACAGTTTAAATATTTTGTATGTGTGTTGAGCTACCAAAATAAAATCAAGATCCAAAATAGAAGTAATACAATTACGTTTTTTATTTCATATAAACCATGTGAAGTGTATAAAATGTGTATGTTTGGTTATAGATTTGCTTATAGGTTTACCAATAGTTGCCATTTCTATGCTTGTTTTTGTAAAGGTTTTTTTTTTTGGTACCACTGACCATAAATCTTTTTAAGATGGATATGTATCCTTGAATCATATTATCTCTCAAGAATATAAAAATATAACTGGCTCTTGTATGATTTAGGAGTATACATATCACATGTAACATTATATAAAAATATAAATAAAAGAATGAATTTTAACTTATATATATATATGTATGTATGTATGTATATGACTGGATCCATTATAAGCAAAGAAAACATTATTTTTCTGAGCTCTGGAATCCTGCACAGGGCAATGTGTAAATACCATAGACCCCTTTGGTCACTTTGTTGGGCCGGTGGGGAAGCTCCTGAAGAAAATACAGCCCTTCCAGTGCCTGCCGCCAGCCTGGCCAGGTCCTTCTGGGAGCTGCATCCACTGGTTCCTTTTCCCTCCGTCCTTCATCCTTAGCCCTGAAGGCCCGGTTAGAAGCGGGCCGGTGAGGGAGCGGGCGAGGGGGAAGGAGGTGATAGAAACTCTCCGGCCGCACCCTCCCTTACACCCAGCTTCCCGGCTCCGGGTCCCCGCAGTGCGGTCCCCACCCTCGATGCATTCTGCAGTTCCTTGAAGTCCTGTTTTCCAGGGGAGGAGCGGGAACCCAGGGTGCCCCTTCCTCTGACTCCAGGCCCCAAAGGCCCAGTGAATGCCAGGCGGGTCGTGGCACCAGAAATCCACGGCCCTTCTAGGCTGATAGCGCCATCGCTCAGCCTCGGAGCCCTTGTCCCGTCAACTTTCGGAAAGCGAACTTGAGGCTGGAGGAGCGGACTTGAGAGCTGTTGGGATCGTGGAGTCGAGGTCTACAAATCCCAAGTGCTCTGCGCGGGTCTCCCCATCTTCCGCTCCGCTCCCCCTTCACTTAGGTTAAAGCGTCGGCTCCTGGGGCCGGGCATTTCTGAGTCCAATCGGTAGAGAAAGGGGTTTTGGACCCTCGCGCCTGCTTTCCACGATCGGATTACATTTTACAGACTGGAGCTGGCTGTGGGGTGGGGGTATTTACTCTGAAATCTCTTCTGAGTGTTCACCTTGTGTGGCTGGGTGTGGAAAGCGGGGGAGGGGGAGTTTCCAAGTGGAGTGAAATTTCCATTCCATGGGTATTACCACGCCTGTGGGTTGGCAGTTCTTAAAGTTTAGCTACTCTGCAAATAACTACAGAGCACAATAGAGTCCCCCTCCCTTCCTCTCTCTCTCTCTCTCTCCTTTTTTTTTTCTTTTCCTGTTCCTGCTTCCAAACGCCTTCTTCTACGAGGCTGAAGCTGGGCAGGTCTCCAAAGGCTCAGCAGCCACAACAATCCCGCAGTTCAAAGTTAAGCAGCAGTTGCACAACTTCCAGAGCTCTCTCAGCGCTCCTAATGAGCTGAAAGCCAGGAACATCCGAGGAAGTGAAGAGCAGCTTCCAGCCCTCCTCCCTTCAGCCTAGAAGCCCAGATCCGGCCCCAGCCCCGGATCCCTTTGAGGTACTGTCCTAGAAACCTGCTTGCCAGACGGACCATGGCTCCTTTTGGAAGAAACTTGTTAAAGGCTCGGCATAAAAACAGGTAAAGCCAAGTAAATGCGTGTGAGGGAGCTGTATGCTACTGTGGGTCCTCAGAACCCTACGTATGGAAGTACATGTTTGGTTGTACCTAGATTCTTATGAAAACTGCTTTGAGGGCACAAAGCCCCCGGGGAATTGAGTTTGGTTACGTCTCAGGAATACAGAACTCATAAGGGTACTGCTCCAGCTTTGATGACAACAGTAGCCAGAGCAAGGGCAGCAGAAAATGATGAGTGATTATGTTATTCCCTTTTCTCTCTTGGACCTTTTGATTCCATAGCTAACATCAATCGTTCCTCTTTTTGCTGTCCGGAACAGTTGAGGGTAATAGGATGGCAAGTGTAATTTGGTTCACACAGAACTTTAGAATATTATAGAAAGGTTAAATGTTTGATGAAAGTGAAGGCGTAACTAGAATTGATAGCCATTTACTAGAGTGAAAAACACAACTGCTGATACAATCCAGTCCTAAAACAGTGCTTTGGTTCCCCTGAGATTTGGGACATTTCTGAAAACTGGAAATTTCCCAGAGGAAACTATTCTGTGGAGAAACTCTGTGATCTGGTTCTTCCAAAGATCTTCAAAAACTTTAGCTAGTTTTAGACACTGAAGACGAATTCAAGCAGCTATCCTTATTACTTTGATTTTACTTTGGCTTTATTTGCTATTTCAAGCCTGTGATTCCTATTGTATAAATATATGTACTTGAAACGAGTACACGCACACGCACACACACACACACACACACACACACATTCACAGATGTTTGCTTGGGCTAGCCTATGTGTTTGAGTCTCATTAAGTATTTTATTTTCATCTCAAATGTTACATTTTTATGGCAAAATAGTGAAGATAATTTTAGAGCTAGGCTCTTTTTTAGTGTCTATGTTTTGTCATAGGGATTTTTCCACCACTCTGCTCAATCTTTCCTGTTTGTACTTGTTATAATTTGCTTAGTGTTAATCTAAAAGGATACAATTATGCAGTAGGAAACGATATAATTATTTTTAAAGTGTCTGCATGACAATATAGTGGTACAAGTTTAAAATCAAATCTCTATGCATTATTTTTACACAGACATCTACTTTACAATTTCTTATTGCCACCCATTCTCAATCCATTGTTGATTTGGTTGGCTAAATTCCCTTAAAAAGTGATACAGCCATAATACATATCATGAAACCTTCTAAGTCAGTTTTATTTGCTAATAACTTCATAATACATCATAATAAAGTATTTGTGAAATATGTGTTGTATTACGTATGGTATGGTAAAGTCGTTTGAATGTTTTAAAAAGTTAAGGGTAGTTAACAAAAATAGATTTGTGTTTTAATGGTAGCCATCTATTGAAATATGTTCTAGAGAAGCCATCTCCTTCCCCAAAATTATTTTTGTAAGTGAATTTTCTGTAGTACTATTATTATGGTGTGAGTTTTTTGCGTTTATTTAAATGCTATCAAAATGTAAAATATTGCTCTGAAAAAGCTTACAGTTTTATAAAATAAATTGTGTTTCTAGAAAATTGTGTATTTTTGTTTGTTTTGAATTTTTAAAAATCAATTCAAGAATCCTGTCATTGGTATGTCAAATAACAGTGCAATAAAACTTTGTATCATGTAATCCAATGATTTTCTCTTAGAAAATGTACATTCTCCACTTTCGATTTTACCACTGTATCATATATTCTACCCACACAACTAGCTGTCATTCAGGAAAGTGAGTATATAAATATTTTAAAATGACATTTTCTATGAAAAATTATGAAACTACAGAAAGATAAGATAAATTTAATAGTATTCCAAGTGTTGGTGAGAAAATGGAAGGTGATTTTTATATTGAATGAGCGTGTTTTGGCAAAAGTGCTGATACTGATGGTATACAAGAGCTGCTTTAATTATGGATTGTTTCTCTTTACAGACATATTTTTCTGACTCATAAAAAAATTCAAACTGCAGAATGATCAAGAACATAGAAATATGAGTATTTCAAATTAGGCAGTAATTGGATTATTCAAACAGATTGAATGCAACTTTGTGGTATTTTGTATTGCTAGATGTGGAGTCTTGTCTTTTCACCGTTCAAAGGTAAAACTATAGGTGAAGATTTGTTATATTATTGAGCTTATACCTTTCATTTATTTTGTTCTGTAATGATTCAAATAATGCCACTTCCATAAACAGAAATCAGATTTTTAAATGACTGATTTATTCTTTTATAGATAATGTGATTGCTGATAAGATAGCTATCTGATAAGTGAAAGCACACTGATATACACAAATATATTTACAATTTGTTGTAGAACACAAAGGAAAACTTTGATTAACATTTGTAATCTTCATATATATTAATGAGAAGAGCTACTTGAACATAACTGCAGCTTTATCAGCAGGAAAAAAGTGCAAATTTCTGAAAGGCATATTAGGGATTTGAGATCATAAGATTTTGGGAAAATTTGTTTACTGAACTTTTCTGTATGTCTTTTCATTATTGTTTACTCTTATTAAATCACCCAAAACTGAACCGCATGATATGGTTTAGTAATTGTTCTCAAAATAAATGGATAATTGACAGCTGTAGAGACAAACAAGATGCAAATGAAAGTTCAAAGATGAAGCATATAAACTTTAGAAAATGTAAACTACAAAGCTTGAAGGTGGGCCTCTATCTGTCTAGACACCATGATGTTTTCATGCCTAGGACAGCAGCTTGCATGTTGTGGACCCGTAGCACAGCTGTTTATTTAATTTTGTAAACTAAAATTACGACTTGCACTTTAACTGGAGACATGGTAATTATTTTATTCCCTATTCATCAAGCAAAGCAAACTACATATTACATGAAACTGAATATTTTATAAAAGATTGATGTAATCTAAAATGTAAAGACCATTCAAATAATTATATGGATTTAGACATGAAAATATTATTGCTTTGCCAGACAATTTTTATGTATTTGAAGAAGCAATAAAAGAAATGTAGGAAATAATCTTCAGGAAGCATGAAAATACATGGGCTCACAATGATTATATTTGAGCATATAAACTTAAGCTTTTTATTTCTAATTTTCATATAAATCAAATTCATGGAGTCAATTTAAATTTATTTGTGTATATAATCAGAGTTAATCTTTAACATTTTCTAATTGTTTTAAAGGTTTGATTGGAAGAATGTAGTTTTCAAGCGGTCTCTTGGTCTTAGGAAATGGATTGTTTACTTTGGTTCTAGAATGTTTTGTGACTCAAACTTAAGATTAGTGACTATATTGTTAATCAGATTTTTGTTCAACATAAAACATAAAAATAGTGGCAAGGGGAGATACTCTTCAACAAATTGTTCAAGTTTCTAAAAATGTTTTTTGACCATCACTTAGCAGCCATTTTTTTCTGACATAAAACCAAAAGAATAAAAGATGAAATACTGATCTATTTTTTTTGTTTTGTTTTTATTCTTTTTTTTTTTTTTTTGGGTACCGGGGATTGAACTCAGGTCCTTCCGCTTGCAAGGCAGGCAGTGGAACCACTGAGCTAAATCCCTGGCCCAACACTGATCTATTTGTATTCATGTGGACATTCAGTAATTCAATTTAGATTATTAGCATTTTTAAGCTATTTATACAGGTTTCACTTGCAAATGTGATTGTCTTTATATTGGTATTATATTTTCACTGTAACAAGTGTTTTGCAAGTTAATGTGTTTAAACAACAATCAAGAACTTTTTATCAGTTTGGAAAACTGGGATATGACTATAAAGCTTTTTGGAACATTTGGTTATGAGACCTGATCCCTTAGTGTTTTAATTAATAAATTTAAGGGCAGAGAAATGGTTCAAACTTTTGCCAAATAGTGCTAACAACAGAAAATTACCATAAGGAAACAGTCACATATATTTGTCAGATATATGGAAGTAGACTAGTTCGTGTAATTGATTTGAAAGATAAAGAATGCTGACTATAAGAAAATTTAATCCAGTCGAAAAGAACTTTATAACTATTTGAACTACTTTTCAAACTTCTCTTGACTTTGTGCTGGTGTCATCTTATGTCTTTCCCTTGGTTTTTCCTAAACATATGGATATATATCTGTAACTATGGCAGACATCTTTGTAATATCAACTCCAAATTCAAAGCCCCCAAAATGTATTTGCAGTGAATATATTTGAATTGCTGCAGTTCTATTGTTTTATAATTGAAACATAAATTTTGCACTAGACTTTGGGTTTGAATTACTGAGAACATATTTGGCCATGTTTTAAGTTTTTATACCAGGTATATTATGTTGCCCCCATAAATAAATGATGCAATGACTGCTTCATCAGAAGGAACAATTAAGTTTTACAGTTAAGGTAAAAGATTTTGGCAAGCAGAATGTCTTCTCTTTGCAATTAGAAGTATGGTAATTTATGAATTCTGCAATATGGGAAATTATATTTCTTGTATATTTTGTGTATCCTTCAAGTAAAGATTTAAAGTGTTCCTAAAATGGGCTGAGTACTGCCAGATATTTGAGTATATACATCTTCATAGTTTTCTGGAGTTCCTGAAAGAGATTTCCCCTGATGATATTCAGTAAATTAAGTGGGTATTGGTTGGCAGCAGACAATCTATTAGGAACAATGACTGGAATGTTTTGTCCCTACCAAGAGTATCCCGAGAGTTGGTGTGCATGAAACTACAGTCTAGGTTAAAACTTAAATTGCTACTCAAAAAGCATGAGTCAACTTAAAATCTTCTACGTAAGATGTATTCTATACTATTTCGATGCATGGCACATGACAAATGGAGAAGTTCTCAAGTTTTTTTTAGAAACAAATTTCAAAATACATATAGCTGGTTAGTATTTTAATTTAGGAAATGTCTTGAGTAGCTAGTTGCATAATTTAGAAATGCTTTGATGTTGTTTGGTATGTCCAAGATATCTGTTGATAACTATAAATAATTCCCCCAATATAGCTCATTTAAAAAAAATAGTTCTGAAAATAAAAGTTGACGTAGGGTTATGAGTC